TATATATATATATACATAGTGCTGAAAAGCCTGAGTGGTCTGTTGACTGAACGTTTTATTTGTTCAAATAATTGTTATGGGCAGGCTACAATATAAAAATGTTTGTCTCATAATCATGTCTTGTGATTATTTGACAGGAGTTTAACTTTTAAACTGTAAGTGTATTTAATTTAGTTATGTTAGTTATGATAGTTTAGTTATGATGTAAATACAATAAAAATAAACCAATATTTAGATTAGAATAATTATCATTTTGATCCATACATTAGTAATGTCTGACTGGGCCTCGTGCCTCTCTATGAACAATAAATTGGGCCCCGAGGTCAAAAAGGTTAAGAACCCCCGGTTTAGATGGTCCAGGCATAGTCCCTATAATCCAGGTGTTCTTATTTGTTCATTTGTGGTTCCTATGGTTCAGGTAGAGTTCCTGCAGTCCAGGTGTAGGTTCTACAGTCTATATGTTGCTCCTACTGTCCAGTAGTGCTGGGCGGTATGACCCAAATTTTATAATCATGGAATTTTCAACAATTATACCAGTAAAACAATATTTGACAGTATTTTTCTCATCACAGCTTAGCTGATAATAACATGAACAAATGTTGCTTATTGATTAGCAAACCTGAAAAGATTTCAATCAGTTTTACTTATATTTTATCTTCTGTTAATAACTACAGTACATTATCTGCTCACAGCTTTTAAAATAAGTAATGAATCTCATGTAATTTGTCATCACTTGTAGGGCTATGCAAGTGAATTTCTCCGGGGGCCACAGTTACTGCAGGTCAATAGTGGAGGGGCCAAACATCCAGCAATTAAAGTCATTATGTAAATAAACTAAGTATTACAAAGACCTGTTACCTTTGAAATAGTTTATTTTGTTGTATTTAACCATGAATACAACATACAGAACCCTATGTAATAAAAGTAATTAAAGATGCTTGAAATTGACTTTTTACTGACATTCGATATGCCGATATTGTTCAACACTTAATTTCCGACTCTGATATTAACCGATATTACAAACCAATTTTAAGGTGACGTCACATATCTCCTGTCAGGGACATTATGCCTGCTTTTTGATACCTCACTAGATGAGCCTAAACAAATGACTTGTGTGATTGTGCAATGCTGGAACTATTTAATGATTGTTTTCTGTGCTGGAGACGGTGGAAAGTAGTGACACGGTGTGTGTGTACCAAGAGAGAGCGATTAAGATAGACCTTACTAAATATTGCCTTTTTAGGATTATGCAAATTTCAGGCAGAGGATGGATGATTCTTGGTGCAGTGTTTGTAAAGAATAAGTAACAAATGAATAAACAGATTTGTTTTGATTTAGTTTGTGTATCCAAGACTCTGGCTTCATCATGTAAAGCTGGATGGATGAGTTTCCCCTTGTTGACGTATTTTAGTTAATTTGTAAACAAAACATTTCTGCGCTGCTATATAGTCATAAACCCCTCTATCAAAGAAGAATGGACTGGTTCTGGAGGCTGGAGGGGGGCGGGGCATAAAGCGCCTTGCCTGGATTTAAAGAGACAGTCTCAAAAGGAGTTGATCTAAAACACCTCAGAAAAGGAGATGAAAGAGGGGCTTGTGGAGTTACAATAAGGTGGAATTCAGACCAAAGCATTACAGTTCCACTTTAGGATTTAAAAGCATATGTCTCCTTTAATGATTTCAATCACATTTCATTGTATGGGTATTCCTGATTGGTTGTTAGCACGTTTGTGCAAAATGCTCCAAATTTAATGAAACTATGTTGGTTGTGTTTCTTGAGCGTCCAGGTGGTACATTCGTCCGTAGAGACAGGCCGTGACCAGGCCCCCGGTCATGTTTGATTGTTTCATCGACACTCTCCCATCTGCGTCTTTCTCCAGCTTCTCTGGCTCCTCCAGGACCATCTGGCTCAACAGAACTGAAGGGTACACGTATTTGGTCTGGAAGCGCCCCTCCAACGTGAAGTCCATCTTTGACTCGGCCTCATGAACGACCTGCCCACAGGTGCTGGCCTCGAGTTCTGCGCAGCGGACCACCGCGCACACCTGCAGACGGAGAGGCAGATAAATACAACATGATAGAAAAGTTATTTCATGCAACCGTATTTGTCGTTTTTGACCTGCAAGGCGTAACGTCCGTTCACTTTGTGTGTTCCTGCGAATGCTCCCACTGCGTACAGCTCCTTGGTTTTACGTACGGTCCAGTTGTACTGAAGTTGGCAACAAAAGGGGCCGTCACACACCGTGACTTCGCCTCCTGAGTCACTTAGGAGGACAAATTTAAATGGGTCYTCCATCATGGATGACGTGAAGGTGGGATAAACGGGAAGATCGGAACAGCTCTRTGTGTGACAGTATGCAGAGGTCATAGCCACTGTTGGTTCGGATCCAGTCACGTCTACGTCCGTGCTCCGTCTCCCCCACAGTGGGTCTATGACCGGCACCCTGGCCACAATCAGCCGGCCCTCCTCTGGGTCTCCCTTCTTAGCGTGGTGATAGGTGGCAGAAAAGGGGGTGTAGATGCCACTTCCTGTCATCCGGAATGGGTCTTTCCGAAGGTTGGCGGCCAGCAAAGTCACATTGGCGCCCGTGCTGAACGCCCGTTGAAACTGAACCGAATCCAGCAGTGGGAACGCGTTCATCCAAGCCGTGGGGAAGATCAGCTGGTTTACACCCTGAAAGAGCAGAAAATGAAGTCAAATGTTTTCACTGAGTTAGTGTGGAGAAGTATGCTTTTTTTTTTTACCTTTTCCACAAGAGCTATTGTCGGCTCTCGGAACAGGATGTCGAAGCAGATGAAGAGGCCAAACCTCCCGGCGAAAGGTGTTTCAAATGTGACGATTTCTGGCTGTGGAGGTGTGTTGAAGGACTCCTCAAAGTAGAGGTTTTGTTTATGGTAGCGTGCCACCAGCAGGCCATCAGAACTGTGATTAAATAAAACAATGTTAGCATTAAGGAAAGCTTTTTTATTTTTATTTTTGAATAAAGATGCATTCGMCACTTGAAAACAACGTTGGTGTTGAACTGCCAGCGTCCATCAGAAGGACATGCTGGGTCTGTCTTCGGGGTACAGGGTTGGAGATCAGGCATGTTTGCCACCAAGTAGAGTTTGAAGCGACGGGCCATGCAGCTCAGCCTCTGGAGAACCTGGGCGATAAAAACAAATGGGATGTAAATCCTATAGTTAGGGTTGACTTGGGGTTCCCTTTATGCTGCTATAGGCTTAGACTGCTGGAGCACAAATTGACCTTTTTTACTCTTTACACAGGACTCTAAAGTCTCATGCATTGGGCGTGAGACACACACACCTGAGGGTCTTCACACACTCTCCCACCACACTCCTAATTGTGTTTCTGAATGTGTTCAAGGCTCACAGAACATTAAACACAGCATTTCAGAAATGTTACCTGCAGAAATATTTCATCTGAGGAAAAATTATAAATGTTAAATGTAAATAAATTCTAATTATAAATTAATAATAGTTTTACATCTAAAAATCATATTTTATTAGTTTAATCTATTTTCCT